CTGGAACCCCAGGTAACTACCTACCTGAATAGGGCCAGTCGCCAGTGAGCATCTCATTGATATTCAAGTATTGGTTTGTAGGGATTTGGTTGATTGGTTACATTTCATTTTATTCAAACGTCCTGGAATTGTTTTAGCTGTGAGATTATATAAGCACAGATTGGAAGATTAGTTGAATGTGTAATTAAATAATGAATGAATTCACTGCACGAATGAATTTAATCAATTCAAGTTTCGATACGGATAATATGAGTTGGAGAACCACTGAAAACCAAGTAGTACTGAGCAGCTATTACGTCCTAATTTGTAACACTTCAGCAATGCTCATCCATTAAAACACTGAGGATTGAATCAATGCGAACAGGTCACCATAGGAGCTTACCACGTCTTCCGATGCTTACTGCATTCTGAATAGTGAACAGCGTTACGTGGAGCTTTGATTGTTAATTTGTCATCACTGATGTCCACTAGGTTTGATGTGAGGATGATTAATTGACCGTGTGATTGGCGCAAACTGACAGAAATTATAAATCATGGGACATTTAAATCCGTCTGCGGCTGAATGACTGGCCAGCTCACCGCAAAACCAGAAACTGTCATTGCACACAGCTGAAGTGTATGAAATTGAGATGAAATAACTATCTAGTATTGTCTGATTTTCAGTGGGTCTCTTAACGATATCAGTCCGTGACCAAACTTGAAAGCCTTCGCATTCCTAGAAAATGATACTAAAATGAATTTATTTGTTTTCACTGATTTTCTAATATTTCAGTGTATTTTCATGACAATTAATCGAATGAGATTATGTGTCTCATTTAATGTCTTCGATTGTTCAATAATATTTCGAGCGTTCTGCTTGTGGTTAGGAATGCTGATAATGTTCACATCAGTATACTTCTTCCAGGATACAGTATCAGAAAAATGCAGAAAAACATCCTGACGATCCATAATGAAATACGCAATGATATTTGTTGTGTCTGGTTTTCAATTAGTTTCAACATTTCAAAATAAACATTTGATACTCGTGAAAAAACAAGCAGTTCTTTTGCACAATTTTTCACTTACATGAATCTATGAAATATGTTTAAATCTGCCATAGGTCGCTAAGGGTTATAGGGGAATTTCTGCACCTATGATGTCAGAAATATGGCAGAGGTTAAACTTTAAAATTGCAAGACTAATTGTCGACAGTTTATATGAAGTCAAGTGAAGAGTTGACAGAATGTTTCACAGTGCATAAGCATGAATAAACTTGAAAGGTTGGTGGTCACAACTGAAAATTATCAGTAAGTCCGTTCCGACACAGTGACCGGAGTATCTTTTCAATAACAATGTCTACCTGCACCATTACTCGTCAGCATATAGATATGATGGAGAAGATTTGTAGCTCAGGTGGGTGATTTTGATTTAGTTGTGTTCTCTGAGCTGGATAATTAATTTGCGAAGCTTTCATCACCCTACTAGGCACTGTCTTCAGTGCGTACTTCAATTTGAAGTGAGCTTTTAGATTTCTTAGCGAGTTTATTAGTCGTCTATCCTGGTGACCTTGAACGTGATTGGTTGATTCAGTGGATATTGTAATATTTAGTGAAATATTGTAACTGTTTTCAGGCGATGAAAATAAAAATGTTTAGTCTTTTTTACTATCCACTTATTCATGAATCTACTGAGGTTTCACACTCTGAATGAATTTGAACTGTGTACTCTAAAACTACACAAACTTTTTATCAGTAAATGTTACTAAATTGATAATAATGATTTATTCTTCTACATATCAACTCAACAAATAATTCGTTTGTTATAGAGGAGATGCAAAGTCTAATAGTAAAAATCAGCATTTGAATAAACATGATTGATGTGCACAGTAATAGTCTTCATGATGACACGCAATTTATTTCAAAATAAGGATTCGAGATAGTCGCTTAGGTTGATCTTAACAGATAAATAATATTTTAAAATACCAATATTGTTAAAATAAGGATTATTCAATGAATGGCAATATTCGGTCTAAAAACAATTCAGTACCAGCAGTACAGGCAGGTGTGACGAGTCAGTGTACTACAGGCTACCGAATATTCGTCCCTCATACCATACCTTTTGCATTATCGCCTAGAAGTCTGAATTACGCGTAATTTTCTATCACAGAAGAAAAACACTTGATCCAGACACAAAGTGAAACAGTTTTATTCACTTAAGTTTTGAACACAATTTACAGATTATAAGCATATCAAGCCATTCAAATGGTCTTCAAACTTCGTTTACATAATTTCATTGTTTCTTTTCCTTTGGTTTTATTTACGAAATATTTTCCATATCGTTGGTCTTCACGTATGACCATTCATATTGCACGTGTCAGGGATAGATTCAATGACGAAAGATTCAGTGCTGACCATCTCTCTCTCCACCTGCCTTTATTGCATTTTACAACTGTAGATTTGTCACACACGACTTTATGAATGAATAATCATGTATGTATTGAGATTGCTGCATGTTCATTATCCTCTTAGCTAAAATCCGATGTTCTGATAATCTGCATATCCTCAGTTTAATGTTCTGAACCATGTCTTTGTTGATTAAATTGTACTCTACAACACTGAACAAGATATATTCTTATAACAAAAATACATGTTATTTTCAAGAGTTGATTTGGTTGGTTTCTCGAGTTTCACGACAAATTGATATCGGTTGGAGAAGCACTGGAAACCAAGGAGTACTGAACAATCCCCCCAAATCAGATTTGACACAGGACTGAGTTTCCTGGAATTCTGCTGAGAAGTTGTGACCACTGTGGATGGATATCCCGCCGATGACATGATTGTTGGTTGCACTAAAATCACGAATTGGCTGACAATTGAATTGAGCCCTAGTGGATAAATTGCAACCCGGAAGTCCTGGGTTTGGACCTCACGATGTGCGTACTGCCGATGATTCCCAGAAAAACAAGGATGAAACAGCTGTCCATTACCCCGTGGTTTCCAATGGTTCTCTAACTGATATCAACATCAATGCATGGTTAAACTCGGAAAATATGTTATTTTGTTTGCAGTATTAGGTCAGTCGGTTCGAATGCTTTCATTATGCGAAATGCTCATCTACTTTTATTATTTGATTACAAAAATAAATGTAAGTTAAGGCGGAGGCCAGCATTGATTAGCGGTGAAGATAATCAGTTGGAAATGTTCCGCAGGTGCTATATGTTCTTATGATTTGAATTTATTTACAAATAATAATTATAATTGTTTTCATTACTGATTAGATATTCGCATGAAAATATGGGTGGCTTGCTTATTAAAGTATGCTGAAGTGATTGCCATTCATTTAGTTATTGAAATAACATCAACTGTTCGTGAGAAATGTGTAAATTAACTATCTAAACTAAAGTATTTTCCTCCTTAACAAATCCTTCATCTGATAACTGATAACGGAGAGATAACGACTTTCGTAACAGGAAATGTAGAGAATAAAACGAATGAAAACATTAAAAAAATGAAAAATCAAGGGTTAGACAGAGCTAGATGCCTCCTGTTTCTTCGTTTGTTTCTTCGCTTCTCTAATCCAACTTCATCATGAGTCATAAAATACTATTTCAGTTGGTTTATATGCATACTGCGTTCACAATTATCTTCTTTGGAGAAATCATTAATCACTAATGTCCTGATTGCTAGTTTTACACTATTTGAAAAAGTTGAAATATTTACATTGAATTATAATTTTTCACCTACTGCATCACACTATTGAATTGCATGCGTACCGGGAAGGCTTTTAGTTGAATAACACCGTAACTGGCGCATGTAAAACTAAGTCTATCACGAATCTACTGGTGCGTGGATTCAATATATCACTGAGTTACTTTGTTTTAAGCTGAGAAAAATGCTTGAATTTTATCAAATTTCTTAGTGTTGTATTTGTGGTTTAATCACGTCCTTGGATAGTGAGCGTTTTCGTTTATTCCGTTACTTTCTCAGTAGAACATAGGGCTTAATACTAGAGGCTTGAAATTTTGGTAGCAGTGTTGTTTCTGTTCACGGGATGGGGTTGCTAGCCTCATGAAAAGCCTTCCTTCACTACCAGTAATTTTACTGGATCTGCAAGGTGCAGTAGTGCTTCTGTAAGCATTCTACTGATGTGTCACCGATGGCACCATGACCGTTACTCCTCCACCTATTTCGACTCTCATTTTGCCGATATGCTTCTGAATAAAGTAGATGAAGGAAGAATAACCTGTGTAGAATGCCAAGAATTCATCAGTTTGTTTAGGCATATCGTTGAATTTCTCCTTAGAGAAACAGGACATACAGTTTATTGACACTCATCAAATATCACGTTTACTTGGGTGTGGTCAGCATAACAGAATGCAAGAACATAACATTTAATGATTGAGCTAAAGTCGACAATCCTTTAAATTTTCCATAGCCCCCCAATATAAGTGACCAAATATAAATGTAAAGTAAAAGAATATAAGAAAAAGGGCGGTTGCATATATGGATGATACTCAGAGGTTATCAACTTTCAACGGAGAGTATGTAACATGAAGTGATGAAACAAATTCAAGACCACACTACTTCGCAACTTGATATAATACGTAAAATGACCATTAAATATTTTTTTATGTATGTTTTAGAAGCATCCACGTATATAGGATTTTTCAAGAGTTTCTCTCTACCGCTGAATAACTGTACTGACATGATTAGATTTCCACCTGAATTTGGCAATATAGTATCTTTGGCTGAAACATATTTTCATTCGGTGGCTTATTCGTCAGAATGTATAACCTTTTAATAGTGGAAAGCACCAAGGACTTAAAATCTCTCATCGCCGAAATTGACAAAACTCGTGGGAAACACAAATCTTTTAATTACTTTATTTATTTATCAACTGATTTTAAAAACTGGAAATGTGGACTGTCCGATCGGAGACATTAGAATGTAGACGTTGATGTAAAATTGGATTAACAGTTGAAATTGCATGATACGATGAGACAGAGCCAATTGGTATTAAAGTTACTTCAAGAAGCTGGCGTAAATCAAAGCCAACTAGGAGAAATAAAATTTTAAAAAATACGACAAAATGAATGTAGAGATTTTCAATTACAATTTGTGCAATTTTCTGAGTGGATAACAATTCACGATTCACATTTTTTCGTTAACCTGATTCGAAAATGTGTAATATTTTCAAGGCTAATATGAAACCTTATAAACGCGCGCTTAAATTCTTCTACAAATTCGTTATGTTCTGAAGCAATTGCATTTATCAATTCACATATTGAAGCTTATTCACAATTTCACTTAGAAGCAAAAGCATGAACTTACAATAACAACAGAAGTGTTCCAAAAGCCTCCAGCCAATGCAGACAAAAGTTCCTGAAATATGATGAGGTAAATTGCGTTCAGAATGTTGATGACAAGTTACAGCATATTAAATATATAAAAATTCAAATCGTAGTAGAAAGGTGATAAAATTGAATTGTGCTAAATAGGACAAAATTGCTAATGGCTTATGTACGAGTATGGAGTTGCCACATCATTTCAAAGAAGCCGTAATATAAAATAGAGAGTGAGGAAATGCTTTTGCTCTATTTATCAGAATTTCAGCTTCACAATTCTTAACACTACGTAACAGAACGTTTTCACATTATTAAACATTCGCATAACAAATAACTGAGATGCTGTTTCACACACAGTAGTCTGTCTGTCTGTTTTCGACATAGAACTTTGCACCGATGTGCGGCAGTTCGAGTTACACACTCCACGTAGCTCACAAAGCAAGAGAAGAAAGTATAAAAAATGCATAATAGAGACAGTAAGTTGAGGTGTGTGACAAAGGAGTAGTAATAACGAAGAACAATATAGTTTCACTGGAAATGATAAGTCACAAGGAGTGGATGCATCTGCGCCATTGAGAATGATTTTGAGCCATACACCTCCCTTCGTGGCTTCAACTAACTGTTGTGGATTTCATTGACTGATGCCATGTTTTGGTTTGACCACCGTTAGCTCTTTTCCAGCCTGACCCTATGTCAGCTGACATTACCCGGCGAGGAAGGCGATGGTTAGGTACGCATGCGTAACACATGTACATACCATCTCAGTCGATGTAATTTCACAGCCTCGTTGATTGATTTCCTCTCCTTACCTAGCACCTAACAGATACCTGACCTCAATATTTCTCACCTTATTATACCATTTAACACGGGAGATAGAAGGCAGACATCTATGATCAAAGACAGTTAGCCTGACTTTTCATGTCTTCCACTCTCAGTGGCCAGGTCTCACAGCCATAAAGGAGGACGGAGCGGACTGCTGAGCAGTATACACACCCTTAAGTCGATAGTCGGACATCACGTCTACGCCAGAGATGGCGTAAACTGGCATATGCGAAACTAGCCCTCTGTATCCTTCTGAGATTTCGTCAGAGATCAACCTGTTGGGGCTGATGGTAATTCCCAAATAAGTGAAACGGTCAACGTGCTCTGCCACTTCACTTCTAATTTCTAAACTAAGAGTCAGTGTAGTCCACTCCTGTCACATCATCTTACATTTGACAGGAGCGAATCGCATGCCAAACATTCGTATATTGCAGCTCAATTTGTTCAGAAGACTCTGCATTTTGTCAGCGTCCTCGCTAAGAAGGACTATGTTGTCTGCATATTCTAAGTCAACGAGATCACACACAGTAGAGTTGACTGCGACTCATGATTTGCTAGATAATGAATTACTCATTATTCTATTTCTCTTTCCCTTTTAATGCAGATATGTTTGATTCCAAGATAACAGAGAAAAATATGTGACTGAAATAAAATGTGAGTAGTAGTCATATCAAATTTATAATTATAGTAAGCAAATCAAATAGTCATGAAATACAAATGACCATGTGACTCACACTACTTTGATCTACAAAAAACAAAACTACTCCAGTTATTAGAAAAGCTGCCGATATTGACAGCAAGACTGTATCCACTATTTGTTTAAATCTTTTGGTGAAGACGCAGAAGATAATTGCTACCAAGTCTTCCAGAATGATGAAGCCAATTAAAATGTAACATTCTAACTTAATTTCCATTTTGCAACACATAAAATAGATATTCCCAGACCACAGTGGAAGCTGTTGGCAAAATAAATTGAACATTTTCATTATATCAGTGTGTTTGAATGAAATGGCTGCATACAAAATAACTTCATGCGAAATAGCATCGAAGTTTCGTTTACATAAAATTATTCTGATTTCTGGTAATATGGAAAGTCCACATGAAAACCTGGAGTTGTATTTCCTACTTACTGTCCCTGGTTTGCACAGTAAGACTACAATCCATCCTCTTATTCTCCTAATCCCCTATAAGGCAGGTGTGCAGTGGTTCGGATTCTGATTTTTGTTCTTATTTTAAGTGTGAAAACAAAATTTATGTTCTCATGTAAACCCTAACAATATTGTTCCTCAAGATGTTTAACAACTAATAGTAATTTTTGGTCAAGGGTTTATAAGAGAGAATATAAGTAGTTCAGCAAAGAGTCTCTTTTCGGTGAAGTCATTTTCAAAGCTGTACAATCGCAAATATATATGGGTGTTTTGTATGTTGTGTATATTAAATTTGTCAAACGAAAAGACAATTAGTAAGTTCAGATGAATTGGATGTTGATATAAGAGGGTAGTAACAAAAGTGATGAGTTGTCACAAGCGATTGTTAAAGAAGAGTTACGTAATAACATGAATAGTTTGATGAAAGAGTTGTACTCAGGGCGTACATGGAAACAAAATATACGGAATTACACAAGGGTTTTAAGTAGGAAAATAAGTATACAAACAAAAGTTAAGTCAAATCAAACAAACAAAAGTTAAGTCAAATCAGCAGAGTTGTTACCATGGCTACACCTTCCTAAAGTTCCGTCAGCTCTCCTTCAATGTTTAACATCAAGGAAAGGGATTTGAAATTCGTTGTCAATTTCAAGAGTGAACTTTGTGGCTGGATGGCATTTGTTGAATATTTGCAGTAACTGATTGAGATCGTGGCCTTCATCACAGATTGTAAAGATTCGTCCACATATCTAAAATACAGTTGGAAATTGTCAATAGTTGATTTGAGTGGGCCGTTCTCAATCTCTCAATCAATTACTGCAAATATTCAACAAATGCCATCCAGCCACAAAGTTCACTCTTGAAATTGACAACGAATTTCAAATCCCTTTCCTTGATGTTAAACATTGAAGGAGAGCTGACGAAACTTTAGGAAGGTGTAGCCATGGTAACAACTCTGTTGATTTGACTTAACTTTTGTTTGTATACTTATTTTCCTACTTAAAACCCTTGTGTAATTCCGTATATTTTGTTTCCATGTACGCCCTGAGTACAACTCTTTCATCAAACTATTCATGTTATTACGTAACTCTTCTTTAACAATCGCTTGTGACAACTCATCACTTTTGTTACTACCCTCTTATATCAACATCCAATTCATCTGAACTTACTAATTGTCTTTTCGTTTGAAAATTAATTACACAAACATACAAAACACCCATATATATTTGCGATTGTACAGCTTTGAAAATGACTTCACCGAAAAGAGACTCTTTGCTGAACTACTTGTCTTCTCTCTATCAATATTCGAATAGGAATTTTTCATGAATTATAGGAGAGACGCTTAGATCCCTGCAGGTCGTGGCTTTTGAAGAAATTCATGAATAGCTGGAAGAACAAATAAATTCATCCGATTTAATGAGTCTTTAATCGACATCCAGCTTCATATTTTGCAAAGCTTATCACAGAGACTGGTCATGAATTTGTTGTCGATTGAATTAGTTTGGTCATTCACTTAAATTCATTGGAGACTTAGCCACAAGGATAGGTAAACGTGTGAATCAGTTAGGCGGTTCAAGGAAATATGTTAGACTGAAATCATTCAACAAAGAGTATTTGCAATCCCACTATTCATTTTCACTTCAATTTAGTATCGCCACAGGATACACAAAAAAACTATATCCACGACATTTGTAGATGATATTTGTATTGTGTGTGAAATTGAATCAGAAAGAAGCCCAGAAATTATTGATGAGGTTCATCTAATGCCATCTGGATCTTAACTTCATGACAAAACACGAGAAGAAGAATATCACTGAATTCCTGGATATTTCGCAGTTAAATTTAACAAATATTAACGTAGAAAGAACTGTATTGATAAAGTCTTCATGAACTGGACAGTACATACATTTCAAAAGTTTTGCTCCGATCCAATATAAAATAGAAAGTAGTCAGAACATTATTCCTTATAAGACGCAGAATATGTTGTGGCAGTGCTGCTGGATGTGAAATAATGTTTGTGAAGGTTATTTTAATCTAAGAATGGATGTCATAAAAAGTTCATCACTATGCACTCTAAAGAAATAAGCCCTCGCAAAGAAAGCTGTATATATCAGTTTTCAATGCAAAGAGGATGATCTACACGATATAGGCAGACGGAGATTTAACAAGGTAATAATGATAACTAAACGTGCTACAAACACGTATTTTTCAGAATTATCAGCAGATACTGCAGCATTCATGAGAATAGCAGTTACCATCTGCGACGAGTAAAACTGTGCATATCAATTTAAGTGTGTTTATGGAAGCAAATAATAGAGTCGTATATTTGGAGATTTTCTACCCGCATAATGCATCATTTTCCATAGTATCAGTAGATTCACTGAAAAGCCATCTTGTAGACTACTGGTTTGATTTGGCGCAGTCAGTTTATTCACTTTTATCGGCAGAAAGACAAATATGCGGTTGCTTGCAAATAGAACGGCTGGTCAAATTAGAGTTAATTAAGCCGGTCTGTGTGTAGAGAAGGCTATGGTGGTCCTTTGGAGTCTACCATAGCAACATAACTTACTTATAATAATATGTCCCTTTATGTATTATATTCTTCTCCATTATGATTCTAGATTTGTTCAGAACAATCTTCTATCAGTTCTATTATCTTAACTCACTTTAATAATACTTTTACCACCATTAGTATTATTATTATCAGAATTAATTTGCTTCCAACTGTGTAAAGTGTTCAAATTCTCTCTCTTATAGCTCATTGTTTATCTAAGTGATGTAATTTAGCTGTTATGCATTATGATCCTAATTTTGATCAATCCTGGCAGCGACACCAGTGCGTCGGTGGCACAGCGGTAAGATGCTCGCCAGTCATGCAGGTGGTTCGGGGTTCGATCCCCGGCCGACGCAATCCTTTACCTCACTAAGTTAGTAATAAGGCTGGTAAAGAGGGAAGGTTGGGCATGAGGCTAGCAACCCCATCCTGTAAAAACATACACCACCGCTACTGGAACTTCAAGCCTGTAGCTTGAAGCACCATGTTCCACGGGGAACGCAAAGGAATAAAAAAATTCTCCTTACTGTCACCTATCTGAATATGACCTGAGAACCATTCGCTACCTGTCGTTTTCCATGAATGATTCAATGAAGTTTATTAACTTATCAGTCTTCAACCTCCTTATTTAATATAAATGATATATACATATATTTTGGAATGTAGAGTATTCATATCAAATCACATTAATTTTGTTGCACTTTTTAATCTACCTTATATTCGAGTGTTTGGCACAGAAAACAAAAAGTGATCTTTCGAAGAAAAAGTCAACTCATAAAGTTGATACTCAAAAAAACTTACTGTTATTGCTATCAGGATCAATGCAATTTTTAAATTACTTCTGAATTTAAAAAAATTTAATAGACAGAGAACCACAGCCAATACTCTGAAATATAAATAGAAAAAGCTGCAATAAATTCGAAAGGCTGGAATGGAGTTCTGTTGTAAAAGACATTCGATTCTGTGAGGGCTTGTGATTGAACGCTGGATATTGATATCACATAAAGAAACTACACTGTTAATTGGATGCACCGTGGAAACCCCACATTAATATTTCGTCAGCTGTTCAATTCTTATTCGTCGAACTCGTTTACTGATAAGGGAATAAAAGGTTTACACGTATCTGAAGCGGCTGTTAAGTTAGTTGGTCCAGACCACTTTTTAGGATGATAAGATTTCAATTAGGGATACTGTGAGAATGTCATTACCGATCCAACTTATTCGCTGATATTGGCTGATAACACGAGGTCAAATTACTTTTCCGTGTAGGAGGGGATTTTGCTATTTTTCTAGTTAGCAACAATAGTGGTATAGCGCTTTTGTTCTCAGAAGATCAGTACTCCAATTAGTCTTTACTCAACAGATACGTTGACACAGATAAAATTTATCAGTAACTAAGCGAATAGCCATACGGCGTTAAGCTAAAATACCGGAGCAGTGAAATGATCATTAATAATACAAATGCGTTGTGCATCGGTGGCGCCGAGGAAGAACGCTCGTCAACCACCTTGGGTGAGTTTATCCCGGGTCGAAGCACTCCTTCACCTCGCTAAGCCAACAATAAGACTAGTAAAGACGGAAGATTTGGCATGAGGTATGCAATCACATCCCGTAAAATTGAAACACCGCTGCTACCGAAACTTGAGGTCTCTAGCTTCAAGCTGTATTTTCCACTGGGAACATAAGGGAATAACAAAAATACAAATCCGCACAAGACTAAGAACCTTTCTGAAAAAGCAATCACCAACACAGCAATCATACGAGGCACATATCGTTCATGTTGATTTTCAAATTATCACTCAACCTTCAGTGTAAAAATGTCGATGTTGGTGAGAAGGACTTTGAAATTTAAGCAACATAATCACCAAATGTGATGAACATAATCTCACCGACTCTTTGCAGGTGAGGTGTATAAATTTAGTCAGTCCACCAGCCGCAGTATATCGATGAGTCAAATGAGTAATCCTGGCCTATGTACCTTTAAAATGCTACATATTCTGCCAAAATAACAGATATGCAAGCAGGTAACTGTTTGAAATCAGTTCTATCACTTAGGTCAGCAGCTTATGTGAACCCATAACTGAAATTCTATCGTAGTTTTGAACGATTGAATTACTTAGATGGTGATCACCGGTTGACATAAACGTGTTGAGCAACATGTACTACTAAAAGCGTTATTTTTAGAAATTGTGTGAAACCAAACTTGCAAACAAACTAGCTTTAAATATTCCCAGCAAGCCTCAAGCACAGAAAAACGATGGAGTTTTGGACGTGAAGACATGAACCTCTACTTCGAAAAATCAGTCAAACTGCTACAGACATTCTGACGCTAAACAGCAATAATAAAGTTGCGGAAAAGATGAAAAACAAACATATTCTTCTCTGTAATAAGGGAGCAAAATTACGCGTGCTGTTGAAAGACTGCGGGAAGTCGGTCAGCTGATATGTCTTCTCTAAATGAAAGGAAGAATCAGAATGTTGATTAGAGTGTCCGTTCAACGTACGAGCAAACTGAGACACCGAGTTAATACCATGATGTCCCTGGTGACAGCCAAAGCCTTAATGCAGAAGTAACTAATTTCCTCCGGGATTACGAACGCAAGGTTCGAGTGAAAAGGTAGGAGTTTTACAATTATCCAATAATACGCACCTAAAAACAACTTGGAACAAGATATCAGGTAAGATTTCCACAGAGAACTACAAACATGAATGGACACCATCCCCAATGGAGACATCCAAATCATTATTGACAGTATGAATATCAAAGTAGTAACGAAGAATACAGGAAGAGAACTTATAATGGGTCGAGGAGCGTCGGCCTGGAGAAATGAATGAGACTAGGGAACTCTTTGTAGACTTCAGCGCTTTCAATGATTTGGTGATTGGAGGCAGTGTGTACAAGCACAAGGATATACACAAAGCAACATGGATTTCGTTTGATGGACAGACCACAAACCTGATAGACTTCACTTCGATTTTGCACATGGAAGTTGAGACGAAGCCATTCTACTGGACACAAAGTAGAGAAGAGGGCTCAGATCATCATTTGCTTGAATAAAATCTCAAGATGAAGGTGAAATCCCTCATAAAAGCTAGATAAATTCCACCATTCAAGTAAATATTTCAGAAACTGAAGGACGAAACTACAAGGGTTGCCTTCATCGCTGTTACCAGAGTTGAACACATAACGTTGCGAAAATCTGTGTTGAAGAATACAGGTACTCTCTGAGGTTGATGTCCAAGAAATTTGTACAATGGTTCTAGGAAGAAAGAAGAGACAAGACAAAGAATAGTTCTCAATAGATACCTGGAAGCTAATCGAGAGAATGGCGATTAACAACAGAAGAGAAAGCTGAATTCAATGTACACTGCAATAAAAAAAATGAAGAAGAGTGCTAGGAAAGATAGAAGACAGTTATACGACACACTGAGCAGCAACTGAAGCAGAAAAGATAGGTCTCAGGTAGAAGAGACCTCAGGACATTATATTAGATAACCAGGTCTTTACGCAGGAAGACTTCAACCAATGAAACCTATAATAAATTTTTTAGGTTGCCTGAATATCAAGGAGAAGAAACAGATAAAACCATAGGCTAGTAAATTCACAGAGTTCTTGAATCAACAATCACCTGCAACTTGCCCAGAATTTTCAACAACACTACTCACAGAACTTCCAGAGAATACCAATCCCTCTACGAAAGCAGAAATCTTGAATGAGATATTGAGGTATTGAAGTTCAACCGGGAAGGCAGCATGGCAACATGGAATTCCACCCAATGTACTGAAAACGAAATCAGAGACTGCAACATATATGCTCACGACATTTGTGCAAACGGTTTGAATGGAAAGGATGGCGCTTAGTGACTGACTTCCTCGCCTGTGCAAGAATTGGCGTAGGATCATGCTCTTGTCCACGCCAAGTAAGACACTAAGTCGCACCATACTGGAGAGAATAAAGATGCACTGGATGCAGCATTCCACCCACCGAAGCAAGCTGGATTCAGGAAAGGCAAGTCATGTGCTGAATAAATTGCAACTATGTGCATCATCATAACAAATCAAAGCATAGCATCGCAGTCAAACATTTACCTTAACTACAATGACTCCAAAATGGTGTTCAAAAAGCATTGACTGGGAATTCATATGCAAACTACTTCCGCACCACGGTGTGCTCTACACCTTTATCAACCTCTTTCGACAGCTGGTCACATAAAAGTGCCACGCATCAGGTGATCAACAGCGTCAACAAGAGCGAGGTTTTTGAAGTACTTATTGGAGTAAGATAGAATTGCCTATAAGCAACAGTGATATTTCCAATTGTTAGGTGCAGCATTTTTGCTTTCGACTGCGGTAACGAGAAGATAAAAATATGGTGGACCTATAAGAGACTTCAAAATATCTATATTTCAGGGCCAAACAACTTTGGAGACGTGCAGGTGAAAAGCGAAAAACTGTCAGAAGAGGCAGACAGTGAACACAGGACTCCATCTGAACATATACAAGACGGAGGTGATGAATACAAAAAACCAACAACAACAACAACAATGGCCAGCACAGTTACTATCAACGGGAGAGCTTTGACTTGAGTTACTTCCTACACTTATCTAGGAAGCATCGTTTCCATCATAGGCTGAAGAGATGAAGATGTCAAAGGCAGGCAGAATTGGAAAGGCAGGATATGCCTTCATCAGTGAGAAATCAGTTAAGAAATTTTCTGTGTTCAGGAATTCAGATTTTCAACACAAGTCTTGAGTCATTCCTTCCATTCGATCGAGAAACTTGACGTGTCATAAAAAGGATTTCCGACGGTTTGCAGTCTTTTATCTACAGCTATCCTCACTGGCTGCTCATAGAAGATTGAATGACTGAATAATATTAGTAAAACGAATTTCTGTGAGCAATCTAACAAAGAACCGATTGCTTAAAAAATAAGCAGAAGAAATAGGAGACGTAAAAGGCACAAACTGGAGGGATCATTGAATGATATCGTGCATATCGGGATAAACTTGGGCGGAGTGGGAATGAGTAGCGATGATGGCAGTGTCTGAGGGTGATACGAAAACGATCATGCGATGAGGAGATAAGAGATAACGAGCAATATCCGGCGCAGATAAAGAGGACAACAGAAAATAAAACTAAGTGTAAAAAATATGTTGTGGAAGCCTAAAATTTCACTTCGAAATAAAAAACAGTGGTAATAATTATAACAGACTTACAAGCAAACGATCGCCACAACATCTTCCCAATCAACTGCATAATTTTCAGTCACCTGAAGGATACAGTAATTAATCATTTAATATTGGTCATAATTTAGATAACATTCATAGATTACTGATGATAATGAAATTGAGAACGCTGTCATGAAATGGTGTTTGTGACGCCACAAACCTACGAAGAGTTAAGTTTAGACTAAAACAATTTATGTTTATGTCTCACCATTCGACATGGGTATCAAATGCATGTAATGAATGCGATATAATGCTTGCATTATAATTTGTCATCCTATCAAACAGGCACAATACAGTACATATTAAAAAACAAATAGTACGCAAATGTGAGAAATTCACTAGGTTCTGCCTGAAATAATAATCAGTGTGTGTATGAAAACACAACAGCCCTAGTTGTGTGGGGTTTCAACAGTACAATTTAACTCACAGAAGCTTCCGTTGAACAATTATTATGCAAGTTATGTGTTCATAGTCATAAACAGCAAAACCGGATATTTAAATTCTTTTCATGTGAACAACATAAGTTGTTTTGAAGAGTGTGAATTGTTTCTACTCCAAGTGAACGTGCAGATATCTAATAATTAAGTTACCAACAGAATACGTAGAATGAAAATTGGAAAGACGTGAACAAACATATACTCTTTCCTGTGATATAAACCTCATGAACCATGAAACCATGAAAATGGAAGATGTAAGGCTGAAGGAAGAGTGAAGGTTTGTAGACTCTGAATAATGACAAGTAAATTATGGTAACGACAAATGATAAAAAGTGAACTGCTTACTTGCAATAAAATTGTCATCTTCAGGTAAACGGTATCGTATTCACTTAGAGAAATGTTCAACTACTGTGAAAATATATCCATTTCATTCTAAAAACTTTGACTCATGGTTTTGTTTACATTCACTGTGAAATGTTTTTTTGTTGGTAATAAAATCTTCAACTGACGTCAAAGTCTTCGTATTTTTGTGCATAATCGTTTCATTGCGTGAATGGTAAATAAACACTTGAGAACAACATTGGAAATATTTTATTATGAACCGTTTGTTGTTAATACATGAAAACTGTTGAATTCATAGAACAAAAAAATTTGAAAAATCAAAAATAATGATGTTACTCGAAATCAAAGGATGAATGTGTACGTGTACGTCAATGTAGTTGCCTTTTGCTAGATTAATACGACATACTAATAGGCGTATGGGTAATGTATTGGTCATGTGATGTGATAAAATAAATAGTGGTAATATCCAGTCGTATCTTATTTTTCTTCGACAGGTTAATATCTGCTTCCTTAGTCCATCTCTCGTGTCCGTCATAACTTGAGAATAGGTTTCAGTTCATTAATCATATGTTGTCATACTGTTGAAGTAACAGTAGACCTTCTGCATATACAAAACACCGTGACAACATATTATTTCAGAGATAACATATTTGGATGGTTCAGTGCACGATGTTAAGCACATAGCTGCACTACTAATCTTGTAAATTCAGTTCTTAGTACAGAATATTGTAGGACTGAAAACTGTGAGTAGTTCGACCACATATCATTGATATAAGTCATATCACACAGAAGTGTTCCGCATGTCTTGAAACAATCAACTTGTAGATGTTATTCGTTGTTCAGTAATTTGAAACTCAGGCTTATCATGAAATCAAGGTAAACATGAGCTTTAAATAAAATAAAAAAATCTCTTTCGACTAAGTGTATACTTAGAAATTCCTGGAAATTCTCATTGCCACACACTTAACAACATTGCTGAGGATACCTAATTCCATCTGAGCCATCAAATGCTTGTTAATATCGCTTCTCAGTATATGCATGTAGGCCTTCCCCTGTAAGTCTTTCACATTAGCCCATGGGCGTAAAAATCTTGGCTCATTTATCACTTTTCTCTGACGTCAAACAAAAAGTCCACTACTTCAGTTTGAAGTGTGCGATGTACATACTGTCCAGGGAGATAATGAAAGCTTCGCAAATAAACCATCTAGGACAAAGAACAATATTATCCTGAAAATATTGAGAAATCACAAAGAATGTCTAATATCAGAAGCACTTCATAACAAATGGAATCCAAATTGTCTGAATAGGAATGATGGACTAAAACATAATATGATCTGGTAACACCACCTCCTCCACCATGAAGTAACAAAATCAACACGGATGTGATGAGCAGTTTCATTATGTAAACACACGCTACTTTATAATTTTATTCAATAATCAAATCCAACAATCTACGCCTGGCTGTGTTATCCTTACCGATTGGCCGACTTGACTATGCAAAACTGACCACATGCTGAGGAACGATGATAAAGTTGTTGTATGTTAGCTGAGATTTTGTAAATTCTGGTTTAACAATTCATTGAAAAAGCTATTAGCACTAAGTAGCGAATTGTCATAATTTAATAAAACTTTATTATTATGAATATCATATACTTATTGCCCATATTTTTCAAACTGTTACATTGGACATACTTAACAGAGAACAAAACCACATCGAAGTCATCCATCTGAGATACAGATCTTCTCCGTTATATCTTAACTTTATCAAATAGAACAGGGGAAGTAAATGACGTAATTGAAATTGCACAATTTCGTTTTGTAAGTTCAGTCACTGAGTCAGTGGAAAGTGGTTTCCAGTAAAAAATTATTTTACCGTTTATGGTTGATTTGATTGTTTTTGAGGGAGAATAATTTGTTGTCATGAGAAATAATATCACAAGGATGCCTTAGATGTCTTCCTTCTTCACTCCTACTCCCCGGATACATTTATGAGAGGCTGCTTGAAGGAGGAAAATTATAGTTCAACTTGACTATTATTTGGAAGGTGATATAGATGACTATGAATTTGCTGGCAAGCAAACTGGTTGAGGTAATCTGTGAATGCCAACTTTGTAAACTGCAATCCCTTAATGTATTCCAAAACTCACAACATAGCTGGTTTGCCTTGAACAATGTCAAATTAAGCGTCACTAAATAAGTTTGAAAATCTGTGACCATCTGCAAAATGCATCGAGGCATATTATGAAATAACAAGATCCTGGCCTGTCTGACAGCAACCAGAAACATAATTTTATCATACATAGATAAATTGTTGTTTGATTAGATTTGCTGCAAAAAATTACTCAAAGCCATATTTTAACATAAGCGATGTACATGCTACAAGAAGTGAACCTGTATCATATGAGTGAATCAATGCTTCCCAACAAATTGCATACATTGGAACATTGGCGACATTTCTTCTATCCATGCAACTGATAAAAAGAAAGTCCAAATCGTGATGGTTACTTAAGCTGCAGATGTAACGGAATTTATAATCACCAAAATGAACGCGGCCATTACTTTTGATGTTGAAGTTTACGACAACTATGGATGTTTTTGAGTGCCATATTCCGCTAAATTAGTCTCTGAACACCCAATTGTGTACTACGTGAAGCATAAAATCAGCGTGTTGTTAGTCTCTAAATCCAACTGAAGACGAGGGAGGTTATACAAAAAGAAGTTTCAGTTTCCTGCCAGTGCAGTGTGTTTTGTGACAGGATCAAAAGTGGATACAGACATAAGTATTTACATCATCTTCAGGAACATCAAATATCGATAGATGGATTGGTTGACTCATGAAGAGAAGAAACGAACGGTGATTGTGAAACACCCTGGGAATCCTGGAACTTAGATAAAGAAGTACTATACAGAAGGTGTGCGCAAATAAGGTTTTTTTAAATTTCCTAGACATATTTTGCATAGAGCCATTGATCCAGTCGCCAATCAAAATTCCGTTGCCGAATACTATTGTGTTCTGAAGTTACATTTGGTGTCACTGTTTTCGAACAGTGAAGGTTTCATGATATGCGTCTTGCAAAAGAGACATTCGGGGTTTCTCATGAGACTTCAGTGTTGCTGCTGAGTGGACGGGCGTCCAGGATTTGAAGAAATTATTACTGTATAAATGTGACTGAACAGTTATAAATTAAATTAAATCTAAAATAGCGTTTTCGCTAATCCAGCTTTTTCGCGTTTTAATGAATGCCTCAATGTGTAGTATTGATGAATTAAATCTTTCCGTTTGAGTTCAAGTGAGTTACACAGACGACACTCTGTAATTTCTGCCAGAAGCTTGTTACTCGCATGAAGTTTCACTCAAAAGGCATGTTTAGATGCATACGTTTTATCAGTCGAGGAAGAAAGAAACCCAGCAGTATAATGCTCAAAAGCCACGTTAGCGAAAAATTAGAACTGGCAAACCTCTGAAAAACTTCATTGCTGTCAAGTTTATTAGATAGTCACAATTCACTCGGTAGGATACAAATCTTATTCACAGTGATGCTGAAGGGGAAGGTACCAGCTAGACGCAAAAAAGCGACTTTATTTAAATCACCAAGAACATGTAACACAGATTCAATAAAGGATTCTGTTAAGCTTCAAATTTCCCACATTGATTCAGGGCAGTTAACCTATCAAAGTGTATCTGAGATTATTCAATGATCTGATGACATCATATGTGGAATATGAACTTCGTGGCAACATGTATTTATATATATTGCTTTATTCGGTCGTTCGTCAAACAAAGTTGGACTGTATTCAGAAATTCGACGATGAACTTGGCTAAGCGCATTCCCATTGTTTAACATAAACAGTTCATCTGGTAAATACGCAAGGAGGACGCAAAATGAGGCAGTTGGTCTTAATTTCGTGAACCAGCTATTTGTTGGCTGGTTAGCTAGCAGCACAAATTAGGTCTTTTGTGGCTCCTTCTCAAAAGCTGTGAAGTGAATTCAATGTTATCATTTTCCGTGAACTACAGTCTTTGGAACACTGATTTTTTCAGAATTTCAGTATTTATGGACTACGTGCTTGTAAGATACATGTGTGGATTCTAGAATCGCTTCTGCTTAGCTAATCATAGATGATGAGCAATTCACCAAATGTTTCGTCAAATCAAGCAACTCTTGGATGGCCAGCTGAAATTCTGCCTATATTACGTGTGTTTCATAGAGGGACAAATCTCAAAATAACCTCCTGCCTACTACTATAAATACTTCTTTCAACATCAGAAAACACAGAAATCTGAAAGAAGTCAACCTTTTAATTAACTGACCGGTAGCACTTATACTAGAGGCAAAAAGATGTGGATATGAATGCCAGTCACGGTTTCAAGATCTTTACGGGCGTTTATTACTAGCTAATCAGCGTGGAGATAAATAACACTTAGCACAAATAAAAGAAAAATCATAAAAATAATGTCTATTCTCCTGAGTGTTTGAGAGTCAAGCAACCTCATCGGATAAATTTAGAGCAGCGAAGAGTCTCTTTTCGGTGAATTCATTTTCGTAGCTGTACAATCGAAAATATATAAGGTTGTTTTGTACGTGTGTGTACATTATATTTATCAAACGAAAATACAGTTAGTAAGTTCATATGAATCGGATGTTGATATAAAAGAGTAGTAACAAAAGTGATGAGTTGTCACAAACGATTGTACAGCTATGAAAATGAATTCGCCGAAAGAGCAGCCTGTTGACTTCCAACAACAGACCTTTTTCACTCATCACTGGTTATGAGGTGGCCTGAAAGGCAAAAGGCAAAGAGTTCCATAGCAGAATAGTTGAGAAATTGACCAGACGCAAGGTGATAAAAAGGAATTCGAATTTGAAACTACGATGTGTACTTCCATTATTAACGTGCTTAATTTGCAAAGAAATAAAAGCGTGTAAGCAGCAATGGGATACAGCGAAAATCGATGGTACAAAACCAAGCAAATTAGACGTCCGGCTGATAACCTATTCACTTTTAAAAACACAAGATAT